GGCGCTGGTGAGCAGGAGCCAGGGGAGGGACTCGTGCATGGCTGTGGGGGTCTGTGCCTTCCTGAGGCCAGGCTGATGGCTAGGCCCCTGTTTCTCAGGGTGGAGTGGATGGTGAGGAGGATGAAGAGGAGCTGGGGGATGAAGCCATGATGGCCCTGGACCAGAACCTCGCTAGCCTCTTTGCTGAGCAGAAGCTGCGCATTCAGGCCCGGAGAGATGAGAAGAACAAGCAGCAAAAGGAGAAGGCACTGCGGGTGGCCTTCCAGATCCGGGTGAGCATGCAGGCCACCAGGACCCTGCCTCTGCACAAGCTCCCATGCTGGCTGACCCCTCCGCCCCACCTTGGCCATAGGTACTGGACCTGATTGAGGTGCTGGTGACCAAGCAGCCTGAGAACCCTTTGGTCCTGGAGCTGCTGGAACCGCTGCTGAGCATCATCCGGCGCAGCATGCGCAGCAGCAGCACCGCCCGGCAGGAGCAGGATCTTTTGCACAAGACGGCCCGCATCTTCATGTGAGCGGGGCAGGGGTGTAGAACAGGCCCAGAACCAAGACTGGGGATAGCCAGACCTTCAGGGTTACCCAGATAGGAAGATTGAGCCAAGATTGAAACCCAGGTCCAGTAATTTGAGCTCCCTGCTCTGACCTGCGGCATGTGCCACTCAGTAACTCACAGAGCCCTTAATGCATTCTCCCATTCTCAGACTTCATGCCACCCAGATCCCAGAACTGGGAGTCTTTGGGCCCCAGCCCTTCCCTGCCCTCGCAACAGTTAGGACACCAGTCATCCAGTACCGTAGTCCTACCAGGATGACAGGCCTGTGGTGGGGGATTAGAGACAGTGGGAGTCCACTGTGGGGGTCACTAACCCAGTCCTGGGAGAAGTGGGAGCTGCAGAATTAATGGGAGGTCATCAGGGGCCTAGGGCAGGACAGATGGGAGGAAATGTGAGGAGCTGGTCAACGGCAGCGCAGCAGGAGGGCCCATATGGGCCGAGCTGGTCCATGGAGCCATTTTCCACAGGATCTAGGGGGCAAGGGAAGGCCTGGGATGGAGAGGGTTTGGAGAGGGCTGTGCTAGAGGCAGAGAACTGGGCTAGGGCAGCAACTGGAGAGAGACAATGTCTGTGCCAGTTTCTGACCTGCCTTCCAGAACTCAGAGGTGCTGGAAGAGAAGGTCTAGGGACCTGGGACACCGAGTAACATTGCAGAGACAGGGTAGTGGCCCCCCAAGACAACCTCGTCCCAGCTCCAGGTCACGCTTGTTCAGACAGTTCTGCCTTCTGCTTGGATAGTGTCCAGTTTGCCAACTGTCCTCCCTCTCATCCCGTGCTCTCCTATGAGAGACTGTGTAGGATGTCAATAGAAGATGGGAACCAATCGGGGTGTTGGGTGCCTGGGCAGCTTTTTCTTCCCTTTGCCTCATGGCCTCAGAGCAAATCCATAGGACCTGAATCAAGCCCTACCTGTGAAGTGGGGCTTAGGGTCGTTCCTCTTGTAGTTGGTTGGCTTTGCTTGGCAAAAAGTAAGGTGGACAGAAGTTCTCATTGACTCTGCCTCTCCCACCCCAAGGCAACACCTGTGCCGCGCCCGGCGCTACTGCCACGACTTGGGTGACCGTGTTGAGGCTCTGCACACAAGGGTGGAGCAGCTTGTGCAGCAGGCCAGCCGCCAGGCCGACTCCTCTGTCGCCCTTTACTACTTCAATGCTTCTCTCTATCTGCTGCGTGTGTTGAAGGGCAACACTGTCAAGAAGGTCATCCACAAGAGCCAGAAGCAGAAGAGAGCCAGCACCAACACAAGCTCCGAGCCACAGGAGCCACAGGTAAGCCAGGCCTGTCCTGAAAGGGCTTGGGAGGGGCCCTAAGCTTGGCACAGGAGGCGGGGTGCCACCTCCAGCATTTTACACCTGGGGGTTTGAAGATAAGATTTCCCTGGGACCCAACCCTTGGCCTTCTGAAGGCAATCTGGGCTCTGCTCTCATCCTCACCCTGCCTATCACCTGGCCCAGGCTGCCAGCTGCTTGGACTTGAACCTCGTGACCTCAATATATTCAGGAGCACTGAGTTCCTTCCTGACCAAGCGCAACAGCCCACTCACTGCTACCATGTTCCTCAACCTCTTCTCCCGGTTCCCAGTAAGTATCAGACCCAGCCAAGCCCCCTGAGGGTCCCTACCCAGTCCAATTACTACCTTATGGCTCTTGTCATCCCCTACAGGTGATCTGTAAGAACCTGCTCCCCATCCTGATTCAGCATGTTGCTGGCCCGGCAAGGCCCCGCCATCAGGTAAGGGCCTTCCCTGGTCCCAGCAGAGCCTATGAGAATTACTTGCTTAGCTCCCTTCTGCCTGAGTATTAGTGAAGCCCAGAAGCCCTGCCCTGCTGGTCTTGGCTGTGGTGCATGCTCTTCAACAAGCAGGATGGCTGATCTGAGGGGTAAGGCCAGCTTTGCTCTTGCAGCAACCACTTTCAGTCTGGCCTGAGCCCTTCATCTCCCTGCAAGAGAGGCACAAGAGATGCCTGGGTGTCTAGTTGGCTGTTGAGGCGGCTGGAGGGAGGTGGCACTAAGTTTATAAGAGGGCCAGGAACTATCCCAACTTGAGATCCCGCCCCCAGCCACTTGGGCCCCTTGCCTGTCCCCAGACCTCAGTGTCTTCCACCTATATAAGAAGGGACACAGGTGGATGATCACAGAGCCAGAACAGCAGGGAGTTCATTGTGCATCACCTAGAGCCACGTGACCTTATTTATGAGGTGTCCAATGGATTCCTGAGCTCTCAGTGGTTCCTGAGCCTTGGCCCAGCTTGCCAAGGCCCCGGGTAACCACCATCTATCTCCTTGCTGCAGGTCCAGGCCTGCCTGTTGCTCCAGAAGACTCTACCCAGGGGGGAGCTGAGACCATGTTTTGAGGAACCTGAGTGGGAGCAGCTGATTGTCCAGATTCTGGTGAAGGTTACTGAGGTAACAGCCATGGAGCGCCCTCCTCCCAATGCATCGAGAATGGTTCTCTGGGAACTTGAGCCTCCAGAGTGTGGTTTGAGGGTGTCCCAAGAGACATTTCCTCCCTCTGGGTTCGTCTGGTGAGTGGGAATGGACAGAAAGGCCTCGGGCAGCTCTCCCAGTGCCTGATTCTGACTACCTCCTCCCTAGAATCTGCGCACGCTGGGGGAGGCGCAGAACAAGTCGGAGCACCAGAAGGAGCTATCTTCTCTGGGGCTGCTCAACATTCTCCTCAAGAGTCACAAGGTGAGGCAGCAGCCTTGCAGCTGGGCCCAGTCAGGAACTTGCATTGCATAGGGTTCTGGCAGCAGACTTCCCAGGAGAGTCAGGGCTTCATGGCAACACGGAGATCACCAGGCAGGACTGTGGGGGCTGGGTGCCAGTGGGAGGAATCAGACTGTCCTGATTTAAGTGACTATAGAGCCATGTGTGGTTGAAGGTGACGCTTGGGAAGACAGCATCACACCTGTGGCTGACAAGGTGGAGGTGGGTATGGGGTGTTTGCAGGCTTCAGTAAGAGAACTGAGAAGGGTCTGGGAGCACTGGAGACAGTGGGTGAAGTTGGAGAAGATTGAGTGTGGACAGCAGCTAGGAAGGAAGCCCGGCCTTGAGCAAGAGGACATGGAGGGGTGCTGAGGAGTTGAGTCGAAGCTGGTGGGGTATAAGATGCTCACAGGCTGTCAAGGTAGAGAGGCAGCTGGAAACGGGCCTCTGGGCCCCTCAGTCTGGCCACAGGGAAGGGTTTCAGCCAGGGTGGAAGGCAGGCTTGGGCTCTGAGCAGTGCTAAAGGGAGAAGGCAGGGCTCAGGGCAGAACCTTGCAAAACAGCAACATAGGGGTAGCAGCTGGACTAAGGCAGGAGGCCTGGGGCCCAGGAGCCAGGGAGAGGCCCTGCCTCCCATCACCAACCGCAGCTCCAGCCTTCCCTTCCTCTGCAGAGGCAGGCTGGGAACCTGACCACACTCCTAGACGTGCTGCAGGGCCGGCAACAGATCCTGCAGCAGAGCTTGCAGCAGGGAGAGCACTTGATTGGCTCCACCCGCCTCCACGACCTCTACTGGCAGGCCCTGAAGATGCTGGGAGTCCAGTACGTTCTGGGAGGAGGACCCTTACCTTGGGAGGGGGCTGGAAAGATCCTCCCGCCAATGCTGCACCTATTTTGGTTTGCGTGCTTGGGCATGGGAGCTTTGGGTACCTGGGTCCCACAGGAACAGAATAGGTAGAGGTGGCCCTGCCCTCAATGGATACTTTCTTGCCTTGCTCACTACCTCCCAGGCGCCCCAAGTTGGAGAAGAAGGATGCCAAGGAAGTTTCCAGTGCCACCCAGAGTCCTGTTAGCATGAAGCGGAAGAAAAAGGGGTTCTTGCCAGAGACCAAGAAGCGTAAGAAACGCAAGTCAGAGGATGTCACAGCCATAGCCACCGGTGAAGACCAGCCCCCAAGCACAGGCAAAAGGAGGAGGAAGAAGATAAAAGCCAAGTCCTCAAAGCTGCAAAACAGAAGCGAGAAGCTGTCCCAAGTGAATGGAGTCACTCCCACATCCCCGGCAGAGGCTGCAGGCAAAAAGCAACAGCAGAAGGCTCTTCCCAAAAAGGAGGTCTCAGGCAAATCTCCACAGTCCGCCCTGCCTCGGAAGAAGGCAAGGCTGTCTTTGGTCAGGAGCCCTAGCCTGTTCCAGGGTGGGGCCAAGAAAAAGCGAATGATGCGCAAGAAGGGGCGAGCGGCGCAGACGCCCTCCTGCCCTTCCTCCTCCGCTACCAGAAGCCCCGTAGACTCCTAGTTTTTTCACAGTTATTTTAATAAATAAGCTGCAGTCTAAGATACCAACTGGCTGCCTCTGGGGAGTGGGTCAGTTGTTAGTTGTCAGGCCATATTTCCCCAGGGGTCCCAGGGTGGTACAACCAGGAGCTGTGGTGTTAAGTCAGGCCAGTGTAGGTGTGATCATTTCCTGAGTGCAACCCCCACCCATCCCTAGACCATTTTGCAACGGGAGCCATCAGGACATGATTTAAATAGGTTTATTTCTTCATTTACAAGAGGAATATATTTGGCTTCTCTCTTAAGACTCTGAGATTCACAATCAGCAGCTCTAAAAAATAAAGGAGCAGTTTGGCTTCCGGAAGGAAGAGGAGGCAACACTGGACCTGGTTCTTGTACAACAAGAAAACATTGCTGGGGCCCTGGCTGAGGCTGGGTGGAGGCCAGACTGGTCTTTGGGGGATACCATCCCCACCCCACTCCCTTGTCCAGCCCCCAGGGTGCCCCAGAGCTTGGTGGGGTGGGTATTCCACTAGCTAACACCACTGAAGCCACAGCCAGCCAGTAACTAAGGGGCAAAGGGAGCATTGTCCAAGCTCAGGGTCTCCTATGGGCCATGGCAGCCCCTCTGGACCAGAGCCACCTTGATTGCAGCAAATGTGCAAGGGGGTATGGAGCGGTAGGGATCAGCTCCCCCAGGGGCTGGTGTGAGGTGACAGCTTTACCCTAGTGTGTGGTTTCAAGGATAAGTGTGTGTGTGCACAAAGATGGGACTCGGTGAAGGCCTGCCCCCCACCCAGAGTTAGCTGGGAGTGTGTATGCGCGTGCCTGTGAACCACTGCAGCCTGTGGCTGGTGGTGTTGGCTATTGGACAGGCCTCAGCCTCCACAGACCATCTCCTGGGCAGGAAGCTGAGTTCATAGCTGCTTCCTCCAGCAGCCAGAGCGCTGGCTACCACCCCCTGGGTTCTGGGAATTGCTCTCTGGGCCCCATCCTTGGAAAAGGCTCAGCCAGCCTGGGAGGAGGGAGTGGGCCCCTGGCTATCTGGGGTGTCAGTGAAGGTGCTCCAGGGGTCCAGCAGAGGTGGGCTAATGGGTAGCTCCCAGAGATTTCAAGCCTGGTGTGCAGCTGCTGCCAGGGCCTCTACCCCTGCTGATGCCAGCTCCCTGTAAAGGGACAGTCCTCACCTGAGACCTCCAGGTGAAAAGCCAGCCTAAGGCAGCAGGGACAAATGTCCTTCAGAGTGACCAGCCAGGGTAGGAAGCACCCAGTGAAGGGTGCTGGGTTCCATGTGCCAGCTTGAATCCAAGGTCAGAGCATGGTCTCTGTGCCAAGACCTTCACGGGGCTTCAGAATTTGAATTGTGGCTCTGAGGCCTGAGCCATCTCCTCTCGGTATAGTGCAGCACCCACTGGGTCTTCAAAGCTGTGTAGAGTGCATTGCCCAACATACTGTGCGGGGAAGTCCAGCCCCCTGGCCCCATGACCTCGGGAGGGCAGGGGCTTGCCCAAGATCACATAAGCTGGTGGCAGGCCAGGTTCTCCCAACACACCCACTTGGGGCTGTCTTCTCCCTTGGCCCCAGGGCCCCTGAAACCCAAACCCAGGACTGGGAATCTGTCCAACTGAGTGGCTCCAACACACACAGCCTTCCAGGTTAACTGAGGACGCAGCCTCCTCTTGGAGCCAGGGCCACTCAGCAGTCCTAGGCCATAGAGAATGGGTGCCCAGCTGTGAGTCACACAGAAAGCTTTGGGACAGCCCTGTAGGTCCGGGATGCCGAAGGACATCTCCCAGACTAGGGAGGAGCAAGGGTTCTTCACTGTCCCAGCAGCACCTGAAGGGGGAGATGTTAGGTCAGAGGTGAGGCTTTGGGGGCACATTCCAAGCCTTCCCTCCTTCATTTCCTTGCTGTTTGGGCCAACAGGCCTTCCTCTGGAGGCCGAGACTGGTCTTGCACTGCCAGAGAGCTCTAGTTCCTGAGGCCAGGCCCTAAGGAAGATCACAGGAGTTGGGCTCTGCCAGCTCTAGGAAGATTTGGAAGCGCAAAGCTGGGGAGTTCCTGGTCAGTCCCAGCCCTGACCCACACCTCAGCGCTTCTGAGGGAGGGAGGGAGCTAATCTACCAGAAGCCCGTCTGCCTTGCCTAAATCAGTAATCTCGGGGCAACACTGCAAGAAGAGACCAAACCCAGGGTTGGTGGGATGAGCTTCTCGGGGATGTCAGGGAAGTTGCTCCCCTAATACCCTGTCCCTCTCCCACGGGCCTGTGGCCTGCACTCACCACCTCAGACTTTCATGGATGCGGGTGGCATCACCAGCTGGTTCACCCTGGGGGAGAGACGGGCGGGGGTCAGGGTGGCGCATCAGCGGGGGCCGGGCCCGGGCACAGCTCTGGCACATCGCATCGCAGGGGCCGGCTGACCGGAGGTGCTGGGCAGGGACCTCGTCAACCCCAGGGGGAGGTGGGAGAGCCCAGGGGTGAGGAGAGAGAGAGAAAGAGAGGAGTAAAGAGAAGAGGAGAAAGAAGTCAGAAAATGAGAGGAAAAGGAAGGTTAGAGGGTCCCAGCTCTGAAAACCCTGGACCTAGGAACCCAAACCCCATCTAGAACGACTGCAGACTACCTGGGGCCACTACTGGCCCAGTGTGTGATGGAGGCTGGGAGCTGGGCCTTGGTAAGGCCTGTGGCCCAGGTGTGGTGGGCTGGGCCCTGGACTACAGCAGCAGGTTACCCCCACCCAAGGACAGCGTGGAGGGGCTGCCACGCTGTCCCTACTTCACAGGGCCACCCCCTGCCCCACTCACTGCTGCTCAGCCTTGGCACGGTCACTGAGGAAGAAGAGAGCAGTGGCGAGGAAGAACATGCCACCCAGGACCACGACGAAGGGGCAGAGCATGAGGGCATAGCCCAGGCTCAGGAACTCCCAGAGCGGGGAGTCCTTGGTGCTCTGGCGGATCAGGTCCGAGATCTGTGAGGATTTGGTGGGGACGGGGTGAGGGCAGGGCCACCTCCTGAATTCCCCCAACCTCCCCAGGCCAGTCCCACTCTCTGAGCCACTCACAAAGCCTATGAGGTAGGGGCTTCCAGCATCGCCCAGCAGATGAGAGGTGAAGCTCTGCAAGGCCACCGCGGTGGCCCGGCGGGTGGGAATGACCACGTACTGCAGGAGACAGAGGCAGTCAGTGGCCGGAGGGGCCAGGCCCACCCCACGCCCAGTCCTATTCCTACAGTATGACACTTCCAAAGCCCCTACTGCCTCAGACTCCTGCCCTGGTGTCTTCCCCTTGCCCCTGGGGGTTCTTCTGTCCCCTTCCCCTGCCCTCTCCTTCCCTGCCTATCCTGTAGGTATGGCTGTCCCTGTGGTTCCTCTGCTCTTCCTGCCTGGAGCTGTATCATACCCACAAACAGCTCTGGTCACTACTGTCCTCAGCCCAGGCCACTCTGTCCTACTCTAGACCTCCGCCTCAGAGACAGAAACCTTCATCTCCATCCCTTACCACATCCAGTCAAGGAGAGAACAGTTTGGGGGTTCCCTGGTACCAGCCCACACCAGCTTCTTCAGGCCAGAGTTCTTTGAGCCTTTGGGAAGCTGAACCCTGAGGAAGAGCTGCCGCCTCCCCGACCCACTCTCCTCTGCTCAGGATGCTCTGCACTTCGCAGGGAGCCAGGTGCTATGGTCAGTGGACACTGATGCCCAGAGAGGAGCCAGCCATTCCTGTGGATCACACGGAGTCCTGCAGCTCTAGAACTAGAACTATGGCCTCTTGCCCTCACCTCCCACCAAACATCTTATGTCCCCCTCCATGTAGACCAAGCAAGACTAAGGCTGGGACAGTGGGGACATGTGGAACAGGGCCCTGACCAGAAAAACTTCCTCTTGAATCTATGGGCACCCCATGTACTAAATGCCAAGAATGGCTGGGCCTCAGACACACCCCTATCAGTCCAAGCAGGCTCTGACCCCTCTCCAAGTCAGAAAGGGTGGCAGAAGAGCAAAGCAGGCAGGGGGTGCCCTTTGTCCCTGAGCCCAGCCTCATCAGCTCATGGTTGTGGACAGTGTGGGAGCAGTCAGCATCCACGGGGCACCGTAATTGGGGGAGAGAGACCTGGATCTCCCAGGTTAGATTAGATTGCGTGGCCCCATTTCCAGCAATAATTAGTCACTTAACTGTGACACTTAATAAACTGGGACATGATTTCCCTGGGATCCAGACCTTGTCAGCAGCTGTCCGGGGCTGCCCCTGGGGATAAGGCAGGGAGGAAGTGCTGCCTGGCACCAAGGGCTCTTGATGCACACGGACTGGCTCCCTGCTTCACTCTAGGGCCATCCAACCCCTGCCACCACCCAGCTCTGCACTGAGACACAGAACTGAGTCAGAAGCCCACCACCTCCACCCAGACATGGACTGATGGGGGACAAAGAGCGATGGCAAGGGGAAGCAAAGAAGAGGGAGGCTTGGGGCGGGGCAGGGCAGACTTCCTGAAGCAGAGGGCTAGCAGGGGCCCAGTGCCAGACAGAATGTGACCTCCTGGGCCGTCCCATGTTTTCAGGCCAGACTCAGAGCACCCTCAGGATCTCTCTCCCCTATACCTCCGGACATTCTCCCCCATGCCAGTCCTCTGTACTTCTTCTCTTAGTCCTCTCCTGACCCTGACCAGGAGGGTCCCCAAGGACTGCAAAAAGGGTCATATCCACCCTGCCACCACCCCCCCCCCCCAGAATACCACAAGTAACTAGCCCCACTGCCCACTCCTGGCTCCTCCCAGGCTGCTCCCGTCCCCACCCAGGGACACAAGCCCCTGCCGGCTGCTCAGACAGCCCTTTGTCCCTGGCCGGCTGGTCTGCAGCCCATTGTTGGCCCTGTGAAGACGGCCTCTGTCCATCCAGCCCAGCCGCAGGCCCACAGGCAGGCAGGCGTGCCTGGGACCCAGGCTGAGCCGGGAGGGCAGAGTCCACGGACTTTCAGACCCTGGGGGAGGAGTGCTGGCAGGCAGCACTACCTCGGTGCCAGCCTGGCACCACCAGCCTCCCAGCCACAAACCTGAGCCTCCAGACAACTCCCTTTCCCACCCCCACATTTTATCCTGGCTGCCGGCTCAACCCTGTTTTCAGGGCCTGCCCTGGTGTAGACCTCCAAATCTCTAATCCACTCCCTGCCTCTGGGTTCACCCTCCCAGCAGGCCTCCCTGCCAAGCCCTGCCAGCTCTCCTACCTCCTCACTCCCCCCTCCCCAGCTGCCCCTGTGAGGTTAAGGCCTGGGTCAGCACATGGTGACCTCAGCCTGCCCGGCTCACCATGAGGATGTCCGCAGTGATGGCCCAGTTAGAAAATAGCAGTGTCTCCCCAACGAAGATACAGATCTAGCCAGGAGAGAGAGAGAGAGAGAACAATCATCAGGCGAGCCCTCCACCCACTGGCAGCCCCTTCACACTGGCTCCTATCATGGGGCCCCAAAGCCTCCATCCCTCCCAAGGGACCCCCCCCTCCTGATGGTCAGGCTCTTGAGGAATGGGTCAAGCCATGCCCACAGCACTGAAGGACACCCAGAGGCCCTGAACTGAGCAAAGGCAGGCAGGCGGCCAGAGGACAAGAGCCTCCCCGTGGGGACAGAGGGTTCAATGAGTCAAACTGCACTTCCAAGCCCCTGAGCCTCCTGCCCCCCCTACACTCACATAGGCGCCCACAATGCTGCTCTTGGCAGCCACGAAGATCAGGCAGATGAAGATGGCGGAGCCCAGCATTCCCACAGCACACACCAGTGGGTCGGCCCGCTGGGTCCTCAGGCGGCACCAACGTGTAGCTCCTGCACCCGTGACCACGCCCAGGAAGCCCGTAAAGCAGGTGATGGCCCCAAAGATGAGGCTATGAGGACACAAGACAGTGTAGGGCATGAATGGAGTGGGGTGTGAGTGGAGGGGGACACGGCTGGGGCAGAGGTGCCCTCTCATCCAGTGTTCCTCACCACCCAGGGCCCGGCTGAGCAAGGCCTACCTGTCCTTGGCCCCGCAGGGCGGGCTGCTACAAGGCTCTGCTGTCTTCTGCACAACTTGGGCACGGTGCAGATAGAGTGGGATCCACATGCCCAGGGCCCCTGTGGCGAAGGACACGGCCGACGTGGCCAGGGAGGAGAAGACGTAGCTGCGGCTGGGGAAAGGCCAGGGCAATGACACTGAGCTGAGGCCAGAAATCCCAGCAGCCGGAGTAAGCAGCCCCATGCATGGTGGCCCAGGAGGCTGCCTCTTCTCCCCCCCACACCCAGGTAAAAGCCTGTCTCCCCCATACAGGCCTCACCCCACACAGGCTCCAGGGTGAGGCTTCAAGCTGCAGGAATAACCAAGTCTAGGGGCCAAAATGTCACTGCCAGCACTGCAGACTCCCAGATGGCAGGTGTCCAGGCGAGGGTGCTGGGCGGGCCACTCCAAGAGCAGGGCCCTCACGTGGCCGCACCTCTCCTTCTCCCTACCAGACTCCGCCCAGCAGTACTCACTTTCGGATCAGAGCCTTCATGTCCCGGAGCCACGATGTCCGTGCCTTGAGCTGTCCCCCGAGCTGGTCGGCATGACCTCTTTTAGTGGCTGGGACCAGGACAAGGATGAGTGTTCCTGTGATCATGCCCAGGACAGGGGACACCTGGCAGAGCGGGAAGCATGAAGTCAGGACACTAGGGCCCTGTGAGCTTTGTTTGTGCCCCTCGAGGGGCTCAGGCAAGCCACACCTTCCCTCGGTTCCAGACCCTTCCTCTGGACTAAGACCTGTCCAGCCTTCCTGTCAGGACCACTGAGGAAAGTGACTAGGGATGAGGTCAGAGAAGGGTTCGGGGCTTCAAAGTGAACTGTCCCATCCAGAGAGGAGGAGGCAAGAAAGACTGAGAGACTGAAAGGAAGGAGGGAGGGATACATGGATGCTTGAATGAACAATGGAAAGACAAAGATGTGTAGATGGAGAGAGAGATGGAATGACAATCTTGGAGGAGGAAAGAGAAAGTTCCTGAGGGTGGAGAGCCAAAGACCAGCCCTGCCCAATCCCCTGGGGCTAGGAGTGTTCCCCAGACCGTTCCTCACCCCTTGGGGCACTGGGAAGTGACTGGCTGTGCATGAAGCCTCCAGCTAATAGAACAGGTAAGCTATCCTTGAGAGATGCCCATGTGGGTCATTCTGGGTCTTCCCTGTGTCCAGCCTAGTGTCAAGAACTGACTCCAAAGCTCCAGGCCTCTGTCCCCTACAGGAGAGGGGCCTCACAGCAGTCCAGATTCCTACACAACAATCCCTGAATCCACTAACCCATGAGAAAAGAGAAATATGTCCCCACCCCCACAGGCCTGGGAGCCCTTGGGCTGGGGAGTTCCTATCCATGCCAGCCCCTCTCGCCCCCCACCAAGAAATTCCATGGAGGCTGCTCCCTTCCTGCTTTTGAGGAAAAAACACTTTGTCTTAGGCTTCCGCTCCTCCGGAGAGACGGGGGATCTCTGTTTCCTCCGATTGCACTGTCCTGGGGCCTTGGTAACTTGCCCCCAACCCTCTGGCGGGACAGGAAGTGGCTCCAGACCCCAAGGGCCTCCACATAGAGGTCTTGTCCCAGCCTCACCCTAGCACAGAGCCAGGACTGGAAGCAGGAAGCTCCGCCATGGATCTGGAATTTCCTGACACGGTGAGAGAATCCTTCGTCCTGTCAACCTGGGGCTGGGCAGGGGTGGGGGTGGGGGTTAGGGATATTTCCAACCCTGAGACTAAGGCCCTGAGGGCAGTGAGGCTGTCCAACTCCCTGGAGACCTCAATCTGGACTAATCTAGAAGGACAAGACCACAGAGGCCAGGTTGCCACTGGAGAGTCTGTTCAAGGCCTGTGCCCTAGCCTGGGCAAAGCTGGCATCTCTGGACCAGCAGGGGCAAGGGCTGGACTCGGGGGGTGACCTCATGGGAGGGTACCTAGGCCTTACCCGCAGGGCCCAGTGCCAGTCTCCAGCCGCCTGCTTCACACTGGAGCCAGTGATGTAGCCCAGGCCGCTGCAGAGGAGACAGACACATGTCAGCGTATGCAGAGACAGGGACTGGGGTGCGGTGTGCTCCCTGGTCTACAGGGCAGGCCACCTGCCCTCACCACTCAGCCAGCCAGTCAGCCAGGCATCAGGTCAGGGAATATCTCCAAGGCTGACTACTAAGTGTCTGGTTCACTGAGGGGGTGGTGGGAAGACCCCTCCCGGATCCTCACCCAAACCAAGACACCTCCCCTCTCACCTGCCCAGTGGGATGGCAAAATAGAAGACAGACAGCATGAGTGTGCGCGTGTTCTTGGTGAAGAGGTCGCCAATGATGGTGGGCGCGATGGTGGAGTAGCTGGCCTCGCCAATGCCCACCAGACCCCGGGACAGGACCAGCAGCCAGAAATACTATAGGGGAAGGACAGAGAATGCTGGGGACGGCCCTGCCCTGCTCCTCGGCCTGCACATCCTTGCATCCACTGTGCACCCCATGCCCTTCAGGGTCCAGGAGCCAGGGGAGAAGATGGAACACAACCTTTGCCTCAGCGGTGACTCCAACCCCAGGCCACCGGGGCTTCAGGGTACCCCGACACCTAGGTTGAGAGCAGTATGGCTCTTGGTCTCCATAAGCACTAGGGATATAAGCCTGTGTCTCTACCTGGGAGACTTCTTCCCGGATCCTGGCCCCAACTTAGGAGCCGCAGGTCACCCCTCAACTCTGTGCTCATCCCCCAAGTAGGGCAGGTGGGTCAATCCTGGCAGCACTGAGGCCCAGTGTGAGCAGGGAACACGCAGAGCAGCCCAGAGGGCTCAGAGTCCCTCCCCCCACACACATCAAAGGGCAAAGCCAGCTGAGCAGGGAAGGGTGGGGCCATGCCAGCTGCTGGTGGTCCTACCCCTTTGATGTGAACCTGCCCCCTCGGTTCCCCCAGCTGCCCAGGGCCTGAGAACCCAGCCTGGTCATCTTTCCCCAGCCCCACCCTGACCACCCATCCGGCCAGCATCGCCCACATCCAGCCTCCCCTGGGCTCCCCGATTCCCTCTCTCTAGTCTCTCCTCTGGCTCCTGGCAGGTCCTCTGCTGCAGTGCTTGCCCTTCACCTTGACCCCCTTGTTTCTGTAGCCATGTCACCCACTCCCCACAGACTCCTGGTCTTCCCTTAGCTCTTTTGCCTGATTCTCTTCCTGGGACTCATCTGCCCATAGCCTTTGCCTCTGGGCTGTCTGGTTTTTTGTTGTTTTTTTTTTTCTGTATTGATTTATATTAGCTTTTTCTCCACAGAGCTTGATCCTTTATCATCTGTGTCCCCACCAGCTTCTGTCATTTTTCTCTCCACTTTGTTTATGGAGAGTTTACACCCTTTTGCAGGCTTCCGGATATTCTCTTTGATTTGATGCCGTCAAATCTGTTGATTTTTCCTGAAAGCCTTGTTCAGGAAGGCCTACTCCATCCCCAAAAACACAAAAACATTTCTCTTCTATTTTATGTTTGTTATGTTTGAGAGAGAGAACGAGAAGTGGGGAGATGCATCAATCATCCTCAGCACAGTAGCCAGCCACTCCACCCACGGAAGCCCATGGGACCGTGTACTTGCTATGAATCCGTCTGTGCCTGCATTGCACATGTAGGTACCAATAAACAGCACTCAGTGTCCTCTGTGTGCTTGGAAAACATGCACGTAAAAGGGACCATCCCAAATCCCGCCACTTGCTTTCCCGCTCATTCTTGTCTTTTTGAAACCCATTTGCACTGGTTAGCACAGATCTAGTTCATCCTTCCACCGCCCTGAGTCTCACAGTATTAATACACCCCATTTATCTGTGCAGTCCCCTAGACAGCTTCCTCTTTTATTTTCTAGGACAGTATTATATCAAGCACCCATGCACACGCGAGCCCACAAGTTAGAGTGGCTCTCTTGTCTGTATAAGGCTGGGCCAAGCAGGGTGCACAGGGAGAATTTTACAATTTCTTGCCATTCTGATCTCCAAAGAGACTCCTACCAATTTACACTCCCCACCAACAGCGCCTGAGTCCCGGATTCCCCACAGCTGTAATAACACTTGGTATTGTCAGCCTTTTTAATTGTCGCCAATCTGATGGGTGTGAAATGGTATCTCATTGTTGTTTTAATTTGCATTTCCCTGATTACTCGAGAGGCTGAGCCATCCCTTCCTACATTTATTGGCCGCTTGTGTGTTTTCTCCTGGAAAGGCCTGTAACGATCCTGGGCTTGTTTTCCTACTGGGTTATTTGTCTTTTCCTTGTTGATTATAGTTCCAGATTTTTAGCTCGTGTTTTGGCTTAACTTTTCGCCTATCTGGAATTCATTTTGCAGTATGGTTTGAAAACCAGATCAAACTTTATTTTTGATCCAGATATAGATAGTTCTCCCCAAGCCACTGATCTGAGATGCAACTTTTATCTTACATTAAATCCCATAGACACGAGGACTCGGTTTCATTGATCTCTAAGTCTATCCCTCGGCTACTGTAGTTAGAATAGCCATTAATTTGATAGCTGATAGGGCAAATTCCCCTCTCGTTGTTATTTTTCACATTGTTCTTGGCTGTTCCTGGGCATTTTCTCTGCCAAATTAACTCCAGAATCACATCGCGAAGGTCCACCAAAAACCCCCATGGGACTCGGGCTGTGATCGCAATGAATTTACAGATTAATTGGAAGTGATCTGTTTCTCTGCCTTTGTTCATCTTCTCTCCCCAACTCAGAAGGAAACCAAATCTTGGTATTGTGGTCCAGTATTCACCCAGAAACAGCCCCAGGGGCCTCCCTGGGGCAGGACAAGGCCCAGGGAGGCCCGAGAGGCTTCTGGTCCAGTCTCTATGTCCTATTGTGGCTGCCAGGCTGCACCTGGCACTGGGCCTGGAACTCCCCTAAGCCTGACCCTCCTCCATGAAGCAAAGTTGTTCCCCACAAATCTGCAGGTTCTTTGCCCTCACCTTCACTCTCCCCTTCATCAGTGTGAATCTGACCCTGACCTTGTCCTTGTTGAAACTTCTCCAGGGCTCAAGAGGCACACCAGTCCCCCCATGAATCAGTCCCTGCCTTCTTTCCAGCCAAAACACTCACCTCCTGGTTCTCTCGACACCTCTGCCATTCGGCACCTGTGAGTGTACTCCTCTGTCCAGGACATCGTCACCAACAGACCTAGCCTTCCAGTCCCAACTGCCTGGCTCAAGTGCTACCTCCTCCAGGAAGGTTTCCCTGACCCCACAGATTGCAAGAAGCTGTGCTGTCTTTCATGAGAACTCAGCACATTGCAGGTCTTAAGGATCCAAGCCAGGGGCTCCTGTCACATCTGCCCAACCCAGGCTCCCAAGGTCAGGGCCAAACTGAAAGTTCTTGAACACAGATCCTGACTTTCCCCTTCTTCCTCCACCTCTCTCTACAGCAGCTGTTCATGATTGCTCACCCTCTGCTTGAATACTCCTACTGATGGGGAAACTCACTACCTCCCAGGGCAACATATCTCCTCTTTGGAAGAAAGAACAGAAATAGAGCTGTGTTGAACATTTTCCATGTTCCAGGATCTGGACATTCATTAACTTACTTGTTTCTCACAAGAAACTTTCAAGCTGAGACGTATTATCTCCCTTTTAATAATGAGGAAACTGAGGCTCAGAGTTGTTCCAGGTCCCAAAGCTGAGTGGGCAACAAGAGTTGGGATACTCCAGCCCAGGACTGTGAGAGCCAAGCGAGAAGCATCTTTATTTGAATTGATGCTTCCTTCCCTGGAACTTGGACTCAAGCACGTGGCTGGCCATCTGACAAAGAGCAAATTGAACAAGAACCAGAAAGGGGAAGGGACTCACCCAGGGTCACATAGCAGGGCCAGGGCTAGAAGCCAAGGTCCTCACCCCTAGGCCAGATTTGTGTCCACATTCCTTGTACCTTTCCCAAGTCAGAGGGAGGCTCAGAAAGAGTCAGGATGTCACCCAGGCTGCATGGCCCTCAGTTACAGCCGCCTGGAGAAGGCCTATCTGCACAGTTGATTTACAAAAGCAGTGAAGACACCCCCCCCACCCCTGCCTTCTGCGCTGTTAAGGCACTGTCTGGGGTTCAAGCTAAGGAGCTGAAACTCCCAAACAAGGCGAACAAAGCCTCGTCACCCAATGGAGGGGCCAGGAGGGTGGGCCTCACCTGCTGGGGGATGAAGGAGCTGGAGAAGGTGACTGCCGACCAGAAGAAAATGCCGCAGCTGAGGATCACCTTTCTGTTGAAGCGGTCACCCAGGTAGCCGAAGATGGGGGCAGCCACCATGAAGCTGCAGATGAACACTGTGCGGGGAGAGGAGAGCTGGAGGGGTGGCACAGGGTCCCTAGGCTGGGCCCAGCTACCCAAGGCCAAGTGCCCATGATACAAAGCTCAGCCTGGACCAGGACCAAGGAAGCTGAGCCCCTGCCCCAAGGAGGGAGAAAAGCCTGACTGGGTTAAGGTGATACAGAGACCACATCCTCTTCAATGCACGTCCATTTTTGCCATTTTCTTTACACCAAGTGCTGTGGTCAGGGCGTACCACTGTATTTCAGCTCACCACCCACCGCCCCAATGAGGAGACAGGTTCAGAGACGGAAGGTGACTTGTCAAAGCCCCACAGGCAATAAATGTCCTCGTGGGAATCTTGACCTCCAGAGCCTATGTTCCTTACACTTTGCCACATAGCTCTCTTTATTGTACTTTGGAGAGAGGTTCAGAGAGAGGAAGGGATCTACCTAAGGTCGCACAGCCAATCAGGGCAGGACTGGGCCTGGCACGGCAGCTCTCAGTACCTGCCAGATCACCCAGCTACCTTCACTCCCAGGCTGCAGAGGCTTCCTGATGGTTTGTAACCCTGTCATGCATTCATTCATCTATTCATTCAACCGAAATGTTCTTGGTCCCTATAATGTACCTGGCAATGTTCTAGGTGTTTGGGATACAGCAATGAATAAACAAAGTTCCTGCCCTCTTGGAGCTTTCTTTCTAGTGAGGAGAATAGACAATAAATAAATAATAGAATATCAGATGGTGATATGTGCTAAGGAGGGTAAAAGGGCAGAAACAGGAGACTAAAAAAACATGCACAAAATAGAGAAAGAGAAAGCAGAGGTTTCCATTTAAAATAGAAGGATTGAGCTGGGGTTGTGGCTCAGTGGTAGAGCGCTCACCTAGCATGCATGAGGCACTGGGGTGGATCCTCAGCACCACATATAAATAAATAAAGTATTGTGTCCAACTAAATATATATACAAATATATGTATTTAAAAAAATAAAATTAAAAAAAAGAAGTATCAGAAAAGGTGGCAATTCAGCAAAGATACAGAGGAGGTGAGGAAATAAATCATGCTACCATAGGGGTAAGAACAGCGAGTGCAAAGGGCCTGGGACAAGAGTGTACTTAGCATGTTTGAGAAAAAGCAAAGAGGCGAGAGGCTGGGGCAAGGGACCAAGAGGGCAAAGGGCAAAGACAGCGTTGAGAGGCCAGAGAGGGTAGAACAGTGTAGCCCACTGAGACTAGCGTGACTCCAGGGGTGAGAAGGGGAATACTAGAGGAAGCTGAGCTGGTTTGGTCCTTCCAGAACAAGGGAGCAGTAGAGCCTTAGAGGACTTCACAGGGAGGCCCCCCCGTCAGTGACAGGAAGGGGCTTAACGGTCACAGGAATGAAGAGGCCTAGGAGGAGGCAGGGTAGACCCTAGGTCACATAGCAAGGCAGCCCCCTCCCTCCCCACGGAAGGCGGTCCCACAGCTGACAGGCAGATGGCCAGACAAAGGCCCAGTGGGCTGCCGCTGACCACCAGGCTGAATGTGTACATGGGCTCAGCTGCTCCCTCCATGGACCTGAGTCCTCAGGGAGACGGGGACTAAAAGAGACAAGGGAAGGAAGAGGGCGGGGGCTGGGGCGGAGGTGAACAAGGGGAGAGAAGGCAGAAGGCAGAGGTCTCCTGACTAGGCTGGAAAGGTGTGGTTGTCCCTGTCTTATTCCAGCCCAGAGCAGGACAGCAGGTGTGTATGGGTGGGTTGGGGGACCTGTTAATCCAGTTCTGAGTGATTCGGGCCTAGGGCAGGATCAGCATAGAGGTGCACAAAGCTGGGCGCCAGAGACACTGCTTGCAGTCAAGTCCGGCTCTGTTCCTTCCTACCTGGGTAACCCTGGCCAGGCGGCAAATTTTCTGGGTCTCCCCTTCCATGGTGTGCTGGTAAGTGTGTAACAACTTGTGCTCTAAAAAGGGAGCCCGGGAGGGGGAATCTGCTAGGCAGCCTCTGCCAATCTCCATGGTGTAAACTCCTGCTGTGGCTGAATGTCACATCACCTATCAGAGCTGGGAAGAGATGTGCCGTGACCCACCATTGTGCGGTTCCTTCCCCTCAGAAAATATAACATAATTAACCATCAGAGCACAGATAATAAAGTAGTAAAATAAGTGGGAAGTGATGACGTTTGAATAAGTATTGTCTTGTTTTAATATAAATTATTTAATCGTAAGTTTATATAACTTAGTTTTTAACAATGGTCGCGTCTAACAACCAGCTTGCACGATTCCTGAAAATCTAACAATCGACTCTCATGAGCCAATAGGAGCCAGTAGGAGCCAGCTCCGGCACGCCAACTTCCTCATCTGTAAAATGAAGATAAAAATAGCAGCTCCCCTGGAGTCCTAGATGAGATAACATGGGTAAGGTGCTTCACGCCACACCCTGCCCAGAGCTGGCCAGCCCGGTCAACACTGGGCCCTTGTGTAGATCAGTCATGGCAGATATTATTTCCTCAAATCTAGAAAAAAAAAATGTTTTCCTGCTGAACCTGCCTCCCAGGAACTGCCTGAGATCAGATCAGGATGTGGGCAGGAAGGAGATTTCAGGGGCATCAGGACTTACACACGTTAGGGCAGAGGACAAATTGCTTTCTCTGTGCCTGTCTGTGCCAGGTGGGGGGTGGATGGAAAGATCAGAGTAGGGGATGCCCCCTGTCTGATCCCATCTATAGGTTGCCCCACTTAAAGGGCTAAATGGCTGGAGAACCAGCAAGAAGCACCATATCCTGCCCGGATAGTGAACAGAGGTTTCATGAAGGCAGTGATGTCCACGCTGGGCACTGAAGGGTGCATAGGAGTTTACTGTGATGATAGACCTCAAGTCAACAGTATGTACTAAAATGTAAATTCCAAATCTGAGCAGTACCGTATAAGGGTTGGTGGGGCGTAATGCCTATTGCTAATACCTACACTTATCATTTCTGAAACACTGTAGGCGAGGCCTGGGACACACCCTCCACCTATTCACAATTTTCTCAGTGGATTCTCACTATTATCTTCATCTTACCAAGGAGACAATAGAGGCTGAGAGAAGTGATGTCACACAGTGAGTGTGGCCGAGACAGAATTTAAACCCCAATTTGGCTCACTCCAGAGTCCTTCCTCTAAATCACACCACAGGCTTGCCAGACTGGGAAGGGGTAAAGTCCCAGCTGATGTGCCCAAGGTCAGAGAAAGGTCAGGACATGCTGGGGACAGCAAGGAGATGGGTTGGGCTGTGACATGGGAAGGCCATGGAGGAAGCAGGGGGAGATGAGGCCCTGGAGGGAGACTGGGCCCGGAAGACCAGGACTAGGTCTGGGTTCTAGAACCATGGTGTGCTCTGTTCTTCCCCAAGAAGGGGGCACTTAGAAAAGCATACACAGGGTAAGCAGAGGAGGCTGAAACAGGTAACCCAGGCCTTGGTCAGACTCTGGTTGCCCTGCTCCATCCTACTCTCAGGCCCACAGGGCAGCAGAAGAGAACTTCCCCCTTCTGACTCCTGAGCTTCTGCGTGCTCATGTGGGGTGGACAGGAGCAGCCGGAACCATGGATGGACTCCTTTCAGAAGCAGTACGTCCTGCCCCCACCTACCAGCCCCAGCCTGGCCAAGGTCACCAAGCATCTGCATGCCTTTAGCTCACCTGAACCCCATCATTCTGTCCCCATTTTACAGATAGGGCCACTGAGGCCCCAAAGGGTACAAAATTTTGCCCCAGATAACATAGACTGCCTGCCCCTCTGTGTCTTTCCCTTGGAGACAAAGAAATCCAGGGTCAGGAGGGAGACCGAGTCCATCGTTGTAGTCTCACCCACCACTTCCCCACCCCACCCAGCCCCACACAGGAGGGAGGACCCCTGCCAGTCCTCAGGGGGACCTGGTACTGTAGGGGTAGAGACAAGAGGACGAATTTTCCTGGCAAAGGAATTGTACCTAATGGGGACACAGAGGCTCATTCAGCCAATAGGCAGCTCTGCAGGAAATACACTGGCCCAGGCCAGAAGCTTCCCCAGCCTGCCTCCCCACGCCCACCCTCTAGCCCGTGGTCTTTGTTTGTTGGGGGGAGCTTTCTGGCCAGACTGGCTGCCCCACCACCTGATTTGGGTAGGGGTGGCTTTCCCAGCAGTTCCCGCAGGAGGACATCCTGTGGCCGGGGTGTGGGGAAGCCCTGCTCAGCTCACGTGTGCTGAGCCCACAGGTCTGGGACAATGGAGCAGCAGGGCAGGGTGCCAGGCCAGGGGGGCAGGGCCACAGGCAGCAGGGTGGGAGGGGAGAGCCTGATCCAGCAGCGGGAACTTGGGCTCAAAGCCTCACTCCCTCTTCCTCACGGGCTGGCCCAAGGCCATCAGAAACACAGGGGGCCGGACAGGGTGCTATCCACCTCCCCCAGTAGTCCCAAAGTCCAGGGTGCCAACGGCAGCCAGAAGCTCAAAGCACACGCACAGGGGACTCTGTGTTCTTGTAGGCAGCCACTCAAGACCCAGTCCATGGTGAGGGAAGCTACCCTCACCACATACCTCACATGTGGCCTGTTTGAACTCAGAAAATGGTCCTAGGGTTGGGATGGAGCTCAGTGACTGAATGCTTGCTAACAAGTGCAAGGCCCTAGGTCCAACCTCAGCACTAAAAAAACAAACAAACAAACAAACAAAAAAAAACAATGTGGTCCTGGTCCTGGAGCAAGAGAGGGCAAGATCTGAGCTAGGAGATCCCTGGCCTCCTATTTAAGAGCCTGCATTTAGTTCCTGCCTGGGCCTGGGCTGAACCAGGGCTATTTTTACAAAGCCCAAGCTCCAACTGACCCGTTATTTTGAGAGATTTGCCATCGTCCACATCCTGTGGGTAGGGACGGTGCTCCAGCAGGATGGATTGGGTGGGGGTCAGGCTGTGTCATCCAAGGACAGCCCAGCCCATCCCAGCTAATGGGGAGGCCCCCAAACAGATGGCAGTCCACTATGGAAGCCCATCATGCTCAAATGTCCCACAGGAAGGACAGGAACCACCTCCCTTTTCATGTCCTGCTTGGGATAGAAACCTGTGGCCTCAGCAAGCAAGGCTCTTAGGCCGCCTTCTGAACGGGAGCCCTGGGAGGATGGTCAGAAGGGCCACCCAGCCTTGCCTGCAGAACCCAGGCCTGCTGGAATGGAGGATGTCACTAAACTGGCCAAGCCCTAGGGGAGAGGAGTAAAGCCAGGAGACTTGGCCCCAAAGCACAGGCACTGTCTGGTTTCAGTCTGAGCTGGCTCTTCCTCCATCCCCACCTCCCCAATACTGATGCTTCCTCCTAACCCCACAAACCCCAACCCTGAGTGTGTTCTAACCTCCTCTGCCATCCATTCCTGCTCTGGGTTCCACCAGAACACCGTGATACGTGCATCTTCTGTCTACCTTGCTCCAAAACCTTCTCTGGCTCTCCATTGCCCCAAGACAAAACTGGAGATCTTATCCCAATCTGCAAGCCTTTCACAGTCAGACCCACCCACTGCCCTGCCTCCTGTCCCTCCATTCTCCCTACTCCAGCAAACAGCTGACAAACCACAGCTCACTAAAGCCAGGCACTGTCACAAACATCACTTTTACTCTCTTCCCTGTGCTACATTTATGCCAATCCTTCAGCCCACAGTCAGAATTACAGCTAATAATTCTCATTTGCTAATAATTCTCATTTGCTTATTTTCTTTTCAACTACATCTATTCTGCTTGTTAACCCATCAGATTAACACATTTTTTATTTCAATACTTACATTTTTCCCTTCTAGAACTTTGGGCTTTTAAACATCTCCCCATTCTTTTCTCATAATGTGCTATTCTTGTCTTATCAATCCTAATCTTTCTTTTGAACTTTGAAAATTAAGCTCACCTAATTTTAAAGTCCTTTTAAAATGAGTCTATTCTCTGTAGTTTTTCAGGCAGCTTTAGGGCCCTCTCATGAAGACGAGTTTCCTGCTGGGTGTGGTGGTGCACCCCTGTAATCCCCAGGAGCTCAGGAGGCTGAGATAGGAGGATCATGAGTTCAAAGCCAGCCTCAGCGTCTTAGCAAGCCACATAGCAACTTAGTAAGACCCTGACTCAAACTAAAATATAAAAAAGGGCTAGAGATGTGGCTCACTCAGTGGTTAAGTACCCCTAGGTTCAATCTTCAGTACCTCCCCTCCAAAAAAAGAGAGATGAGTTTCCTGTGTGGTTTGTTAATTTTGAATTTGAGTTTGCTGGGAATTTTCATCTGGGCCCCATGCAGGCTCTGGGATATGAACAGTTTGGGATTTGCTTCTTTTGGATCCCCTGAAAACACAGAGCCTCCATGGAGAAGGTCCCAGTCCTGTAAGGAGCAGGAACAGGAACCAGCCTCTCTTCATAAAGCCAGAGCCAGGAAGGAAGTGTCCATCTGTGTATAGAGGCTCTACCAGCACAAGTGCCTGCCAGCTTGGAGCACAGTTTGGAATCAGGGAACTTGCCTGAGCTCTGGGAAGGACACTGAATCATCCCCCTGACCCTGGAGCCCAAGCCTGCACTGCCCAGTCATCAGAATGAAGAAGCCCTGAGCCAGGAAACTGGGCCAGACTGTGATGCTTTGATGAATCTAGGTGATGAACATGTGAAAATTTGTTGTACTCGACTCTCTACTTTCACATACGTTTAAAATATTCCATGAAAAAAAATGTTTATATTAAAAATACTATAACAAGTGTCGAAGGCATGAATCTGATCTCTAAATATTCTGAATTAGTTGGCTTTGATTCCAGCTCCCACTCCAGTTTTTGACTTCAGCTCCTTGCTTCCGACACCTGGGAATTTCCCCATTAGCTGTAGCTTTTAAGCTCAGCCATATAATTTAAACGTGTTTTCTTGGCATATTTTATCTAGCTTGAAGGGGAGAGGAAGGTTTCCTCGTATCTACTGAATCTGACAAACTGGCTACATAAAAGTCCTTTCCCCTGAACAAACCCTAACTCATCCTTCAAAGCCCCCATTCAAATGTCCCCTCCTCAGAAGTCTTCTTCACATGCCACCTAGGTGGCTAGGTACAAACTCTGTACCATCCACCAGGCTCCCACAGTACCCCCTGTGCCTGAGCGGTGATCTGATGAGCCATCAACAGAGGGAACCTACCTGAGGGCAAGGACTGAGTCTGGGCAGAACCCAGGATGGGGCCTGCCAAGCGGTAGGTTGAGAAGCAGCTGCCCCTTTAGATGTGGGTTATGGGGGATTCCAAAATTGCAAGACCCAAGAAAATTGCAAAAGCCATAATTCTGCGGTGGGCTGTCACAGAGGCTAAGCTATGGTTCTTTCAGGTGACCCAGGAGCCTGGTCTGAACAAGCAGCCAAGTGCAAGGGGAATGCTGAAAGTGGGCCCTTCCCAAACCAGTGATGTTCTGGTCCCAAGGGGAAACAGCAAGGGCAGGCCCAGGCCTAACCCTCAGTTACCCCCCACCCTGCCTCCCAGCCCAGCAGCCCCTTATGCCCACAAATAAGCAGGCTGCCACTCCCAGTCCTGGCCCTTTGATCCAGGCAAGCACCAACACCCAGCTGGCGCCCTCCACACCGGCTCCAACCTTATCAGGCTTGGGGAAGAGACAGGTGCCTGGGGCACAGGCCAATTAGGTGACTTGTTGAGTTACCCACTGAGTCACATCCTGGTCTAGCACGACTGGCTTCATTGGCCAAAGAGGTAAGGACACTCAGGGAACCATCCCAGGGGTGCCAGTTGTGGGTGGCAGGCTAAAGGCCACAGGGTAAGGACTCACACAAGAGAGTCTATGAATGCTGGAAATTCTCACCAAGCCCAGAAATCTCACCCATCCCGCTGAGATGCCAGACATGTGAACTCCCCCCCAAGCCAAGTAGGCTGCATCTACAGAGGCCTCCTGGGTCCCTATTCCAGGCCTGCTACTCTCTCACCATGAGACCTTAAGCAAGTTGGTTTGCTCTCTTGACCTGTCTCTTTGTTGGGCAAGTGAAGCCGGCAAAAGCTGTGTGGCCATTGGAAGACTCAAAAGAGATGATGCTTGTGGGTGATGTGTCTACATGGGCTGGGGATATAGCTCAGTTGGTAGAGTGCTTGCCTCATATGCACAAGGCCTGGGTTCAATCCTCAGCACCACCAAAAAGGAAAAAAAAAAAAAAAAAAAAACATAAGGGCAGAAGGAAACAGAGCACTGACCTACACAGCTGTCTTGGGGCCAATGCCCCCCACCCTCTCCCTGGAAGGCTCTGTGGCCTTGAACATGTTCATGCAGGGGTGTTAAATGGAGGAGGATCAGGGTAGAGCCTCCTTCCAGATCAGTCAGCAAGGCCAGAACAATGAGGCTCAGGGGCTACGAGCTGGATGACTAGGGTGACAAGGCTCTCCCCTGCCCCTTCCTCACCAGCTTGGCATTCTACTTCCTCCCCAGATCCCACCAGCTTGAACCCATCTTCTTGGTCAGTGCTGGTCACTGTGTGCAGGGCCCAGGAGGCTGGAGAGAGCTGTCCCAGGCTGTGTGGCAGGCTGACTTATTCTGGCACAGACAGGGAGGCCCAGGAAGGAGCAGGGGAGGGGGTTGGGCTCCTGGCCTGGATAGAGGCAGTGTCTGCCAGGGCAGGGACCTAACCACCTGTGGGGGACGCTGAGCCACATTACCTTGCTCCAACCTTAGTAAGTCTCATTTATTAAGACTGAGCCCGGGAGCCATTATATCCCCTCTCTTTCAGCCCCAAGACCCCATCTGGGATGTAAGGACAGGTGGACTGGCTGAGTAGCTGGGGCACTCCGTGAGCTCAAGGAGGCATTGTACATACTGGAATGCTACCTAGACAGGTCAGGCAGGTTCCTGGACAGAGCCGGCACATTCCATCCCCTCCCTCCTAGGAACCCCAAGCTGGGGAAGGGGTTCACAACTCAAATGCACATCAGGGATCTTCTACCACACATCTGGCTAGGCCTCACAGCTAAATGGAGTCCAGAATCAAGGGCCCAGAGATAGGCATTAGGCTAGGGTCACACAGCAAGGCTGGGGCCACATCAGAACTAGACCTCCTTCCCTAGCCCTGGGATAAAGCACTAGATTGAATCTCCACCCAGGCAGCCAGGACCTGCTGAGCATGACCAGCAATGGTAACAACCAGTGGATAGGCCAGGGAGCCAGGACCTCAGTCCCTTGGGGTCGTGGTGGGGCAAGGACCCGGGGGACAAGGGAGACATGGTCTCTTCACAGAGGGAGGAGCCAACAGGCTGGGATAACTGCTCAATGGCCTCCCACATAGCCCTTGCTCAGCTTATAGTGGCCTAGAGGGGCTCTGCCCTACCTCTAGCAGTCCATCAGAAGGTTGAGACTCCAAGGGAAAATGGGGCAGGGACTCTCAAGCCTCAGTTTCACCCAGGCCCCAGGTTCTCTGTCTCTTGCCTGGGTTTGGGAACCTTCAGGGGTTAACCAGGTGGACTCTTTCACTTTGCCATCTAAGAGGTGGTTCCCAGGGTTAATGGCAATGGAAGGAATTGGGAATTGGGGGCAGCAGATGGAAATGGTCACAATGGTTCACTGGCATTGCCCAACCCACTCATCTAAGGAGGTCTCTTCATCAGCCTTGGGAAAGGACCCCGATCACTAGGTCTCAGTGAGACCCTAGGACACAAAAAGGTCACACAGGGTTTGGGCCCTTGGCCTTGGTGTGTCTGTCTCCCAAGCCCCTGGGGCAGGTGGTATGTGTTACAAGAAAAGCAGCAGAGGCTTGGACAAGTGCCATTTGTGGGTGGCAAGGGTGAGATCTGATGAAAAGCCCGTGCTGCCTCTAGGAGTCAGGACTCGGGGAAGAAGAACCCCCGGCCAACAGGAGGAGATGCCAGCACCTGGGCAGGCCGCAAAGGCAGGAGGTAGCCTCACCTGACTGCAGCAAGCCAGCGCCTCGGTCCTTGACCCCAAAGTGCTGCTGGATGTCCAGAAGGACACCTAGAGAGGGAGACAGAGGATATTTATCAGCAACGTGTAATACCTGGGTACCCCATCACCCCACCCCACCTAGGAGACCCCTCAGCCCAGCCCAGCTCAGCCCTCTTTCCCACCTTCAGAGCCCAGCTAGGTCCTACCCCAGAACCACCCTGCTATGACCTCCCCACTGCCCAGACGGCCCTCTTAGCCCCACTGGGCCTCCCATGTGCAGCCTGGGGACGAGGCCCCACCCCTCCACCAGTGTAGGGGCCCACAGTGCAGAGATGGGTGAGGCTGCCCTGTGGTCACTCCGCCCTAGGGGCAGCCACACCTCCTATCTGCCAGCCTAAGCCTTTTGCCCACCTGTGGCCAAACCCTGGCTCAGATACAGGGACCTAAGCAACAGGTAGGTACGGGCCCAGCCCTAGGGGAAACCACAAAGCCCAGAGGGCAGGGGTGACTCCAGGCGTATATACAGACGTGTGCGCACACACGCTCAACTCCAGCTGCCCTCCAGATTAAAACCAGGACTCCCTGTTTGTTCAACCATAGGAAGTAGGATGCAGTCTGAAGCACGTGGGGCTCCAGGCCTGCTTTTTTGGGGAAAGGGAGTTCTTGAGACCATCCCTGCTCCCAAGTCCCAGCTACCTCCCCTGTCCTCTTAGAGCTCTGCCCATCAAAGGGGAACCTGGAAGCCTTGAAGCCACCCACAGTGGCCCACAGACAGGCAGGCAGACAGACCCAGGCTATGGGAGGCCCAGCAGAATCCTGGGCCCCGCCCCGCTAGCTCTTAGCCAGTGCTCCTGAATCAGCCCCTGGCCCGACCAGCCCCAGGGGCCCCACCTCAGCTTATCTCTGAGGACAGCAGGATCTGGGGGGCCACAGGTCTCAGCCCCCTTCCTGAGAAGGGGAGGGGGAGAAAAGAGGAAGAGACAGGGCCCTGCAGAAGACAGAGGTCTCTGGGGGACTCCCAGAGCTCTGGGTGAGGATAACAATGATGGCATTATACGTGATGGTAGTTTACATTGCTGAGCATTAAGTTATTCATTTGTTTAACCGTCATATAGCCTAATCAGGCAGGTGCTATTATCTCACTTGCCAGATGAGGAAACTGAGGAGAGGAAGTCCACTTATGGGTTCAAAGTCACACATCAGGGAAGCTGGGCAAAGCAGAAGCCCCAAGCACTGTATAGGGGTCCAGTCTGACAGCTGGGGCTTGGGATGCAAAAGACACCGAGAGGCTTGAATATTAGGTTCCTCTCAAGACCCAGGCTGGGAAGCTGAGCAATTTTCCGGCTGTAGGGTCAGACCCAGCTGGTGTCCTGGCAGTCTGACAGCCCAGAGAAACTGGCCTCCTCCTTGTTAATGCCCTGAGTGAATTCACCACAATTACCCTAATGAAGAGGCTGTGTGAGGCTCAGTTAATGACTTAATAACCAAAGCCTAATGGGGCGACGGCCTTGCCTTCAAGGTGGAGGCCAGGGGCCAGTCCTGGGCCGGTAGGTCCCAAAGGGCCTCTGGGCCTGGGTCAGGGCACTTCAGCATCCCAGTTGGTGGCCCTGCCATCCATAGGCCCACTGCCATTCCTTTAAGGTTATTTCAGTTGCCTCCTCTTCTAAGTAGTCTTCCCTGATTTCTCCCCTTCCCTCATCCTAAATAAGTTACAGTGCCCCATCTATGTCCCCAGCCCCATCTATGTCCATCCTAGCTTTGGTACTGCTCTTTAGGACAAGTTAGGATTCTATAGGGAAGACACACAGGGACAGGGATATGAACTACTGGGACCCAGTGTGGCCAAAAGCTAAGAGACAATATTTATTGCTTTTTGCTAACTTCTGGGCACGGTGAGGCTCTAAGGATGGCATTTCTATCCTTGCTGTGCACCCTGGTATTTATAATTATCATTTCCATTCTGCATATGAAGAAACCAAGGCTCTAAGACACAAAACTCTTTGTCATACAGCACATTAGTTTTTGGAGGTCTGAAAATATAGAGGAAAAAAAACAAATTCCATTTCTCCCATTACACACTCATAACAAACTGCTTCTCTGACCAAACTGTGGGGGGGTGGGGGTCCCCACACATCAAATAGGCAATTAACTCTGCAGCAGACACCAGCTGGGTATTCTCTAATTCCACTCGTTTCTGACACTATCTACCCAAGAGAGCATCAGATCCCCAAAGCGGAGGACTCAGCCCCAAGACCGTTCCCCCCACTTTAGATGCCCACCACAGCCCCAGGCTGTTTTACTTGTATAAATTGGGGTTCCCACAATCCTCTCCTTGGGTTTGATCAATTTGCTATAGCAACCAACAGAACTCAAAGGAACCCTTACATTTGCTTGGTTTATTATTATTTTTTAAATATTTTTAGTATAGACGGGACATATTTATTTTTACGTGGTGCTGAGGATCAAACCCAGTGCCTCAGCCGTGCTAGGCAAGCACTCTACCCCCGAGCCACAACCCCAGCCCCTCACCTGATTTATTATAAAGGACATCACAAAGCACACAGATGAAGGGATGCTGGAGGACATGGAGCTCCCACGCTCTCTCCAGGTTCACCCGCCTGCAGGAACTTCCACTGTCTCCACGCTCTCCAAATCTTGGACTTTTGGGTTTTATGAAGGTTTCATTATATAGTCACATAGTCACAGCTGATTGTATCATCAGCCAAGTGTGGTCAGCTCAACCTTCAGCACCTCTCACCTCAGGTTGAAGGCAATACTGAAAGACCCAACCCTTAATCCCATCTTGGCCTTCCCTGTGACCTGCCCCTATCCTAAAGCTACCCAGGGACCAGAGGACATCAGTCATTCATTAGCATAAAGAGACTGATCATTTTGAAGATTTCCAGGATTTTAGGAGCCCTATGCCAGGAGGCAGGAAGAAGACCAAACACATTTTTCTCAATATCCACCCAGGTCTGCTCCTGAAAACCAAAGTTTGTTCTTCTGCCACACTACCTCTTCATGCTTTGCTCTTGTCCCCAGCCCACAGCCCAGCACATAGCTGGACCTCAGGGACTCTCTGTGGGGCAGATGCACAGATGGACGGGTGGCCATGAACTGGGCACGGGACATGGTGAGTCAGCTCCAGAACACAGAACAGGGACTGTCACAGTTTTGGTAGATGAAAGGATGGGTGGAGTTGGGAGATGGTAGGAGAGTAAAAACATCCCCAAGGCTCAGGACTGTAGGTCTCTATCCACAGTTCAAAGGAAGGACGTGGGTTGGCGGCAACCAGAGCTCACAGGTCCACAGCCAAAGCATTCTTGCTTCCTCCCTGCAGCACAGCAACTGGCCCCTTCTCCATCCATTGATTTCAAGGCCCAGCATTTGCCTCTGCCTCCAGGAAGCCTTCCCTGACTTCTTCTCCCACATAGAGTTCTTAGTAAGGGGAAGAAATATTTCTCCACATCCAAGTAGGCATCCAAGGCCCCTGGGAGCTCTTGGGCAGTCTAGAACCCTGGACATAGGAAACCCTGGATCCCTACCTTCATTTTACCTACCATTTTACCATCAGGAGGGAGCACAGCCTTGAACTCCACCTGAACTCCAAGAAGAGGGCCAGAGAGCAGGACCTTTGCAGGCTGTGAGGCCCATGGCCAGGCTCTGTCTGGATGAGGCCATGGCCACAGGAGGGCAAGATCCTGCTGGCTGCTGGCACGGGAAGCGTGTGTCACAGCAGCTCGGCCTTCGTCTCACATTTTCCTCCAGGGCCCCAGCCTGGCTGGGCCCGCACACCCCCGCCCTTCTTGACCACAGCCTTATTTTTAGCCTCTTTCCTGGAGGCTGAGGTTTGGTGGGTCACAGGACGGGCCTCATGCCCAGGAACAGCTTCCCACAGCTCAGGTCAAGCCAAGACCCCAGCCCCACCAGCCCAGGGACATGCAAGGTGGGGCTCCCACCCCAGAGGCAGCCCCCAGCCACCCCAGCCCACAAGGCCAGCCTCTCCAGGCAGCCACCCCAAATCCACATCCTGAAAGGCTCTCTGGCCCCAGGGTCCCCATCCCTCCAGGACACATTCTGGAACCACAGGAGCCCCTGAGTTTTCTCATCCACTAACACCAGTCTTGCCCATCCCAGCTCCCTCCCCCGGGGCGGGGGTCTGTGTTATCTGAGGCCCACCCTCTCCAGCCCTGCAGAGATCCCACCCCATCAGTCCATGACTTGGGCCTGGGTTTTCAGCCTCCCCTTGGTTTTTGTCTCCCACACAACAGCCCAGACACCTGCTCACATCTCACTCACCCCACCTATGAGGACAACCTTGATCTGTCCCCTCCTTGATCTGTCTCCTCCTCCCTCTTCCTGCAGAGTGGAAGTTGTTGTTGTTGAACCAAGGATTGAACCCAGGGGTGCTTACCCACTGAGCCACATCCCCAGCCCTTTTTAAAATATTTTATTTAGAGACAGGGTCTCACTGAGTTACTTAGGGCCTCGCTAAGTTGCTGAGGCTGGCTTTGAACTTGTGATCCTCCTGCCTCAGCCTCCCACACCACGTGTGCCACCGTGTCCGGCTCAATGGAAGCTCTTGAAAGAGTTCTCTCCCCCAATTCCATGTCCTCACCTGCATTACTGCCCTGAGGCCAGCTGCCTCTGTGCTCATCTCCACAGACTCTCATGCCTCTGTTTCTCAGCTTCCTGGACTCTCATTCCCCGGCTCTTCCAGCTGGTCCCCTTCTCTGAGCGGAACCAGTGCAGCACCCAAGCCGAGTACCTGGCAGTCAGCTATTACATTCTCCCTGCCTCCTTGAGCCCCAGGAATAGGCCCCAGCAAGCCGTCTCTTCTTCACCAGCCAGCCTCCTCCCCTCCAGCCTCTGCCGACCCAGCTACATCCCTCTTGCAGCTAGATCTCACCAGCACCAAGCAATCACTAACTAAGTTCTAGGTCCTGAGCTGGGACTCTGGAGCCATCTCTGAACTCAAGAAGCTAATGCTGTGGCCTTGTGGGTGTCATCTCTTGCCACGCCTCAAGTCACCCAGGACTTTCTCAAGATCTACTGCCAGGCCCCTGGTT